TGTAGCCTAAGGAAATACAGTCCAGACTTCTCCCAGAAAAGTGTGGGTGGGGGGGTGGGGGGTGGAGGATGAGTTAGACCTCAGGCCTTGTCGTTCTCCCATTGGGAAGAAAAGGTATCAGTAGCTCTGCACACCAGTGTATCCCCTTTGAGAAATACAAAAGCTACTTTTCCTGCCCAATAGACACTATTCTTCTCATTTACTACAAGTACTCAGAACAAAGGTTCATCACTCAGATACACTGCATTCTAAACCAGGATGGGTAAGTCGCCCTGCTCCAACAGACTTTTAAACCAGTCCTGTTTAAAACGTAACACAATACCCAAATCTATTCTAACAGAATATGTATTAGTCTGAGCCAAAAGTTTGCCAGTATCCCCTGTCCATTCTATATAATGGGGCTGCAATAGCAAATGTTAAAAGGCTAATAGATGCAGTAGGATGCAAGTAACCATATTACACATTGCAGTTATCTGTCATCAATCAACAAACCTGTAGAAGGATCGTAATTCAATTCATTTGCCTTGAAGCATCTATATAGCATCTTTGCAATATCAACATAATGGTCGCAATCGCTATGCACAAAAACAACAAAATTTGGTATTAGACTATAAGGCTACTTTCCATTGGGAAAATAATAAATAAGCCAACAAAATCCTGAGCACTGAAATCCTGCCAAGATGGCTGCACAACTTTCTACTTTAACTTCAGAGCAAAGTAAAATGTTTTGAAGGTCAATATACCTCTCATCCTTGGCTGTAGCAGACTTTCTACTGGGCTCTAAATCTTAATGCAGAAGGACTTTGCAAACTATTTTCCAAAACCAAGCCAGCTTCTCCCAACTACTGAAAATACATCTCTTCTGGAAGTCACAGCCAGCAATGTCTGGCAATATGTTGCCAATAACCTGAAATGGCTCAAAGAAGAACTATCTATCCATTAATCAGTGCAACAAAAATGATTTAATCTACACTGAAAGCTTTTGGAAACGAATCCTCCTTCCTTTTGGCCACACTAGAGTTTTGCATTTGACAAGTGAAAGGCAGAAAGCCTTGCAAAGCAAAACAAAATGAAAATTTTCCCCAGATTAAAAAAGAGATGCTTTGCTTCCCTCCCCCACCCTTCCTGATCTACACACAACAATACATCTCCACTGATTCAGAATCAAGTTTAATGAGCAGGACAATCTCCCTGCATTCCTTTCCCCTTTTGCTTCCTTCTACGGGTTTTATCAATCTAAGCCATCCCATTTTCTTTTCTTCAGGCCAGCATTAAGCTATTAAATGCACCATTTCACCCTTCTTCTCTCTGACTAAATGTCAGCCTTCAAACTCAGGGTGACAGCTGTTCCTCTGCTTCGGTTCCCTCCTCCCCTACCTTCCATGGTCCCTGCCTTGGCACTTGTTGGTTGAAAACATGATGCTAAATATTCATCACTGCCACCTCATTGCACTTCTAATTCACTCTGATTTGGGGGTTAAGCCTCTCTGTGGTGGCCATTTATTCCCCCATCTTATATCTTAAAGCTTCACCGCTTCTTACTTGGTGTTGCAGAGGGAGAGGACTTCATTTGCATCTTTATGATCTCTATTATTAGGTGGTCCAATTTCTAATACAGCTAGATGTAACTTCTGTACTAGTCCTGCAATGCAGCTTTAGCATTCTTACAGTTCAGGTCTGGGTGACAACTTTACAACAACCACATTTATTTTTATCCATGTTTACTAGTGGCTAGTGTAGGATTACCATATCTGGGCTGCAAAAATCTGCATGGCCACTAGTTGGGAGCAAAGAGTTATAGAAAAACTCTTTATGCCGCCCTTTAATGGTCTTCTGGATTTCTGCAACCCCAACAAGATAGCCCTAAGCAAGGCCACAGCACACGAAGAAGGCTTTTCGGGTTGCTTTTGTGATACTACTAACCTTTTTTTTTCTTCTTTTTTTTGGGTGTGAAAAATCAATCCAAAGGTTTACACCCCTTTGTTCACTTCCTGGCAGGAAATTGAGTTCCTGCAATTTGGGCGTTTGCCCCCAAATTTTGGTGGTAGATTCTATGTGTGTTGGAAGGGGCCACATGCAGCCTTGGGTTAGTCATCACTATTAGATAACCTTTTCAAATCAGTATTTCTAGAAGAGTTTCAACTGAGCTTCACAACACAGTTAAACAGATTTTGGTTTCATCATTTCTGAACCATACAGAGAAGACACAAAATATGCCTCAGCTCCCATTCATCTTAACAAAGATACCTATGTGACCACCTTCCAAATAATCAGCGTAGGATTTGCAATCTGTACAGGCTGTCACCTTTTATGGATGCGAAAGACAGAAATTCAATGGAAGAACCATTTGCCACCCTAGTGATGCCCTAGTTGGACTTAGGCGGGATTGTCAAGAGAGAAATAGCGCTACTTTTCAAAGAGGTACAGCAGTAAGCTTCAAAGTGCCCGTTGAGCTTCCCAGGATGTTGTCCAAGTAAAAGCATGCCTGCTCTTCCCCAGAGAGATCTTACAGCTGACATGGGGTGAGGACGCACGTACAGGCATCAGGATCCCTATCCATTTTTATTTCATTAGGATGCTAACACAAGCTAGCAGATGTGTGCAACCTTAAAAACATTCTGCAAGCATTTGTATAACTGAAACTGGCCTAAGATGACTTTTAGACATTAATCTTGTATTTTATTGGGTAAAAAGTTATACTGTTTTTCACCCTCTCACCTAGATCCTATCCAGTTCCTTACTCAAAGGCCAATGGAAACGTCTTGCATAGCAATTTTGTGTTAGTTTTGTTTGTTTGCATCTCACTTTCTGCACACACATTCATTTTTTAAGTGTTTTAAAAATCAGAAAATAAACCATGCAGTTAAAAAAAAATAAAAAAGGTGAGAAGAAGTGCATTTTTACCTGAAATTTCAAATGTGTGTTCACCAGGGAAAGCTGCAATGGGTTCTGTAAATAAAAAGAAGAGTTGGAAATTAGTGCTTCCATCAGCAAATTATAGATCCTGAAGATAGTAACCCATGTGATCACAGGGAGTATCCCGAAACCCCTAATCCTGAAGAATCTCTTTATCAATTTGTACAAGTGGCAGACAATCTATATCCTTTGTTTCGGGGGGCGGGGGAGTAAAATCTCCTGTATTCACTGAGAATAACTCTCTAAAAAAAATGTGTTTGGGGCTGCAGGCTTTCCCCGCACTAGGGTTGTGTTCCAGCAGTAGAAACACAAGTGCCATTGTATTTTCTTTTAACTTTTAGCACAGAAGATAGAATGCTGGGTGAAAACTGGTAAACTCAAGGTCTGAAACAGTGTTGGTTGTAAAGCACACAGAGTACCTCAGAGTCTCTACATCTCTCATCCTCTTCTAGCTCACAGGCTGCTTGAAGGATAGAATGGATTAACCCTGTGGATGCCATCATGGGGTCCCCAAGGAAAGACCCTCAGTTCTTATACACTGAAGATTAACATGACAAACACTGTCTTTGATTCATATCTTGGTCCCATTTGATGTAGTGAACACTTGTAGTAACACCTATAATATAGTACTTGCTAAAAGCCACTGACAAAGGTGTTGTGCCCTTTTTGAGGAATAAGGTAGAGAAGCAAAGATGACCTTTCTTCCTTTTTCCCTGCATCTCTCTCATTTTGGGAACTGTAGGTGGGGGGTTGCTTCCAGTTTTAAAAATGAGGGAATAAAATTACAAGGGTGGTAAGCAGGAGAAACTACCTATGATTAATGTTATCGATTAAGACTAAGTTGGATGTAGGAAGGCAGGATATGATAAGAAGTTTCATACATTGGAAAGCTTCCTGTAAAAAAAAGTTAACAAAAGAGAAAAAAACACCTGAGAAAGAAACTTAAGATGCGATTTATATTGTGTATCAGGAAGTGTTTTCTAAAGTACGATCTGTTGTGTACTGCAATGTCTGGGAAGTTTTTGAACAGGATCCTAGTTAGTATCTTAGAGATAGTTAGGGACATTGCTTTTTTTCTCTCAAACACAGGAATAACACGATTTTAGTGTTATATCACAAACTCCATTTATGTGCAGTTTTTTTACCACTTTAATCATTCATTCAATCAATCAATCAATCAGTCAGTCAGTCAGTCAGTCAGTCAGTCAGTCAGTCAGTCAGTCAACTTGTATGGCCACCCATCTCACTGTAGTGATTCTGGGTAGCAAACAGCAAATAAAAACAATTTTTAAAAATCTGCAACAATAAATAACATTATGTTTGGCCCCAAATCCAGATTATATGGATTGAATTTATCTTACGAATATAGACAGTAGTTTTGACAAGTTTAAGAGTGGCGGGGGGGGGGGGGGGCAATTT